CCCGCCTCGGCCTCCCAGAGAGCTAGGATTACAGGCGTGAGCCACCACGCCCGGCTGGATTCTGAAGACTTTTGATCTAGATCCCCTAACTAGTATTTCTCAAAGAGTGGTCCCCAGATTGAATCAGAATCTCTGGGAGTAGAACTCCAGGAAACTCATGGCTATCAAGTTCCCCAGGGGTTTCAGATGTCCACTAGAGTTGGAGAATCATTTTTTTGGACACTAAAAGGCCCAGAATGGGAGGAGGGAACATCAGTAGTAGGGATGAACCCCAGCTGGTTAAGGCTGACATTGGGGATACTACACTGGGCCCGTAACAATGTAATGGAGGGGATAAGTGTTCTCGGAGAAAACTGGGTTTGAATCACAGTGACTATGTGGTCTTAGGTCATGACCCCACTGAGCCTTGATCACCTACCTGGCTCCTTCTCCTACTTAAAGTATTTAACAATTGTCACTTTCTCAGATAGGTTTTCCCTGACCACATTATCTATTATAAAATTGTCTCCATCTCTCACCCCCTCCCCCAAGTCCCTTCTTGATTTTTCTCAGTAGCATTTATCACCATCTAATATACTGTCTACTTTGCTTATTGTTTGTCTCCCCCAGTACAAATAAAGCTGCATTAAGGCTTTGTCTATTTTACCGATGTATCCTCCAAGCGTAAAACAGAGCATACCAAACAATAAGCACTCAATAAGTTTTGTATGAATAAATCTATCTGTAAAAAGGAAGGTAATACTATAATAGTACCTACCTCCTAGGGAGATACTAGAGCTGTTACGAACATTAAATAATACATTTAAAAACCATGCAACACACTGTCTCTGCAGGGCTCTAGGCACATACTGAATTCATCTAGGATGCTTCTTAGTCGGCTAAACCCTCTCGGGTGGAGGGTTCTCGAAATTTTGGGGCAGATTTTTACTGCTGATCAGCCCCCTTCCCCCTACTTTTCCCTGGGTCACTGTCCCCGAGGAGTTCCTGGTTCCTCAACAATTAATCATAGCCAAGCCTAACTGGTTTTTCAGGACAGAGGATAAATACAATAAACAGGAGCAGCCGAGCCCGAATTTTGACCGAGAACTTTCTCCCCTTCTCTCCTCACTTCCCAGTAGGTGACTGGGAAGGGATTTCCATCGCAACAGGCACCTCCTCTTGCCAGCTTGATTCCATCTACGAAGCACAAAGCACATCTATGGAAGCGGCGACTGGGGGAAATACACCCCTTTCCGCGCAGGCGCATTCAGTTGCAGCCCTCGCGACTATCGCGATAGACTCAGCGAGATCGACGCTGGCCCTTTAACAGTCCCTTCCCGGGGGCCTGCCCCGCGCGTGCGCACAGCGGTTCTGCGCTTGTCATCATGGCGACGCGGGGCCATGTGCAGGACCCTAACGACAGGCGCCTCCGGCCCATTTACGGTGAGTGCCTGCGGCCTGCCCAGTCGCCAGTCCGAGGCGCTGAGGGCTGCCGAGGCCGGGGCAAAGGCCCAAGAAGGGAGCTGAGAGCCCGCGCGCAGGACAGGCAGGCGCTGGGGGCGGGCCGCGCGGGCCACTAGGCCGCAGCCCCGGGCCTCGCGTAGGCGCCGGCCCTGCCTTCCTGAGCCCTGAGGTGGTAGCGGCGCGATTGGGGCAGCGGCTGGTCGGCAGAGCTGGCCCGACTGGCAGGCGCGGTGGTTCGCGTAGACACTTGGGTTGTCCACAGGCTGCGTTGATAGGGCCGCTCCAAGGGAGACGGAAGATCTTCCCGCAGGTGGAAGCCGGCTCCGGCATAAGGGTGGGACATCCCACCTGAGAGAAAACTCTCCACCAGGGAGTTTTTATTTACGGGAATTGGGCCTAGGAGGTTGTCTGACTAGGTGGGATTCGCCGTACATGGAGAAACCGAGGTCCAGAGAGGGGAAGGGGGGCTGACGCAAGGTCACCCTGATCGAGTGAAGAGCAGGCCCAGGATTCCCAAGCTCCTAATCCAGAGCTGTTTGGTGGAGAAACAGCTGCTCTGGGCACACGTGGGAGGCGGGGGGAGGGGGTCTTGGGCCCAAAATAGCGGTGTCAGAGGGGCATGCGGGGCTGCTGGAATGCTTTTCCTTTCTGCAGCTTCTCTGTGGTTTTCTCTGCAGCTTCCTTTACGCGTGCTAAGTAGATCCTTCTCGACACCGCTTACCTCAACCCGCAGGCTTTAAGACCTTGATGTCATCCTGCTAACCTGGTAGTGAAAAGCCACAGATTTGTGTTTGGGAGCAACGCTTTTTCAATAACGGAGATGTTCTGTAATTGGACGACGGTCCCTTTTGCATTTCCTTTCTTCTTAGATAGTTGTATGGTCTTGGTCTATTTCAGTTAATGATGAGGAAGCTTGAAGGTCAGTGGTTTTTTGCAAAAGTAGACCTCACGTCTACTGGATGATGCTAAAGGGAGGCCTCTCAGGGCTGGAATCATTTAGTGTTTTTTTTGGGGGGGGGCGATGTTCACGTTATATTTCTGGCACAGTCGGTCCTGCTTTTACTTCATAATTTCTGTGATGTTTTACTTTCATATCTCATCTGATTCTAGCAACACCACCACTGTGAGATGGGTAATAATAATGGCTAAAGTGTACAGACCACTGTACACTGACATTTGTCACTGTCTTTGGCCTTTTATATAGGTTATCTCATTTAATCTTCACGCATTCTCATGTGGTGGGTACTGTTTTTTTCCAGCGCCCCCCGCTTTTGTTAAAACAGTTGAGGAAACTGGGTATTTATTGATGTGTAATTTGTCTAAGGCCACTCAGCTAATATTTCTTGGAGTTAGGATTAAAACCCCTGTGGGCTTTTCCGGGCTCACTCTCTTAACCATTATGCCAGAAACCCCCTCACTTTGAGCTGAAGACTCTGATTTTCTTTTCCCTACGGCTGCATATTCTCATGCGCTTGCCCTCAGTGTACATTTTCAGAGGGCAGAGATGATACATACAAAGTGCTACAAAGTGGGCGATAGAAGGTGAGAATTGAATCCAGGGTTCATAGTTGGACTAATTTCAGCTTTGTGTAGCAGCTGCCTGCAGACTTTTTTTTTTTTTTTTTAACCAAAAAGACTTGCTTTCAAGAATAATTGGATTTTTAAAATTATTCTTGACCAAAGAGAATTCCTTTGGTACCATAGCCATTGAGAATGAGGAGTGTTTTGACTATCCAATGAGAAACACCATGTCCATTTTACATTGTTAAACATCAGGACATATTAACTGGGATATATTAATGGGTTATGTTCTCAAAACTGAAGTCAGAGTTATGTAGCTTTTGTTATAGCTACATGGGAAGAGGATTAGAGGCTTTCTTTAGGAATTCTAAGGTGATTAGTTTAAACTGGCAGGAATAGGAAAAGAATGGGTACAGACTGTCCTTGAATTCAGCACTTTTGACTTTTGAACTCCAGACTTTTATTGTTTAAATACATTAGTACCCCTAAACAACTATTATTCCTTAAACTCAGACATTCACTACCTGACAAATGAACAAACTCATCTATGGTGGTGCTCACCCACCAGCCGTAAGTTCAACAACCATCAGCATTAATTAGTGCTTACTTGTGGGCTGTTAGGTAGGTAAGATTATTGTGATCATAGGAAGCTGAAGGCCATTAACTTGCTCACGGTTGTAGCTAGTAAGTTGTAGAGCAGGGATTCTAAAACAGGCATTCTGACTGGAGAACCCAGCACTTCGTCAAAATCAGATTCAGCAGCACCACTGTCTTGGTACTGCAATATTTGTACTGACTGCCAAGGTTTAAGGATTTTACAACTGTTGAAAACTTTGCCTGGGACCTCACGTCTTCCTGGATATCATTGAGGGTAGACATGGACGGGGCTATGAAGTGATTCATTGAAAAATTGTGGTGGGTTGAGATGTGGTGGATTGAAATTCTGCTTGTGTCTAGGATTGGAATAGCTTTTCTGTGTATAGATTTGATTAGTTGAAACCTCTTCACAGTCATCTTGCATTACTCATCATAAATTGATAAGTTTGGATATGGCATTTTTAGTTTTTGAAAACCTCTACCCATGACCTTATTAGAACTCCTACTTTATTATTCATTCTCCTTTTGCAAAGAATGAATAATCTCTTTTGCTACATAGTTCTCAGCAGATTTTGCACTCTTGTATGACTGGGTGAGCTCTGGTGCTTTCCTGTACCATTATTATTAATTTTTAAATGTTTTTAAGCCAGGAATTGTGGCACATGCCTGTAATACCAGGTACTCAGAAAGCTGAGGTGGGAGGATTGCTTGATATCAGCCTGGGCAACATAGCAAGACCTTGTTCCCGCAAAAAAGTTTTTAGAGATTATGAGGCAAGGAAGAAGAGGGATGGAAAGACATAATAAATATTTGATTGTGTTTAAATAATTGGAAATGGAAATGATAATCAGATATGGCACGTAATAACTTAATATAGGATATGGGAATTACTAGGTCAGCAAATTACAAAGTAGAGAAGTATTCATAATAGAAAAAATGTTTTTCCCTGAGAATGATGGAAAAAGAGAAAAAGAAAAAGGTTTTTAAGAGGAGATTTGATAAAGAGAAAGGAAGAAAAGAAAAAAAATGTTTCCATGGGCTTTAGAATACACACACCCACACCGACACGATCCTGTCTTACTAACCTGCATTCTGGCGCTAGCTTGAATCAGGTGTAGCATATTTCCCAGCTGTGTCTCCAATGGCAATCACTTCTTTAGTGAGTTAGGACATTTCTCTTGGGTGCCTCGCCAAACATAAGCTCAGTAATTATTCTGCTGTAGTTTGTTAATAAAAACTCTGATATCCTCAATAAAAGGTGGTATTTATTCTCACCTCCTGTTGGGCAGTGTTAGGTATGCGAGTCTTGTCCTCCTGTTTTGCCCCAGGAGTGACGGGGTGTCTTGGTGAGTAAAGACTATCTTGCTTTTCTGTAGAGAGGTCACTTGGCACAACCTCTTCTCTTCTGTTCTGAAAATATGACCCTTGAAAAAGCCCTAGACTTTTAATTTTTTTTTTTTTTTTTTTTGAGACAGAGTCTCACTCTGTTTTCTGGGATAGAGTGCAGTGGCATCATCACAGTTCACTGCAACCTGGAACTCCTGGGCTCAAGTGATCATCTTTTTTTTTTTTTTTTTTTTTTTTTGAGACAGAGTCTCACTCTGTTGCCCGGGCTAGAGTGCCGTGGCATCAGCCTAGCTCACAGCAACCTCAAACTCCTGGGCTCAAGTGATCCTTCTGCCTCAGCCTCCCGAGTAGCTGGGACTACAGGCACGCGCCACCATGCCCGGCTAAAATTTTTTCTATATATTTTTAGTTGTCCAGCTAATTTCTTTCTATTTTTTTTTTTTAGTAGAGATGGGGTCTCTCTCTTGCACAGGCTGGTCTCCAACTCCTGGGCTCAAACGATCCGCCCACCTCGGCCTTCCAGAGTGCTACGATTACAGGCGTGAGCCAACGTGTCCGGCGCCTCAATATTTTTTGATAGATAATTGATGTTTTTCATTTTTATATAAATGCTGTGTGAATGAAGAATCAAAAGATAGCTCTTTTTCTTTGCTCCCTGTCAACCAACTTGCATGCCTTATAGCTCCTTCAAGACAGAAATTCTGGAGCTGCCATTGGCAGCCTCAGGCTCAAAATATTTATGATTTCTCGACTGGGGTTCCCCATAGCTTGCCGACTTGGTCTTTCCGTGTTGTGATTTAAGATTACCAGGGAGAGACTTGGTTTACTCAACTGGGGACAAATGTCCATCCACCTGGGATAGGCTGCAGTTACCTGGTCTAGACATAGTCATCTAGCCTTATCCCTTCGGCAGGGGTAGTGGAAACCAATTCCAGAGAAGACGGCATGGGCAAATAGATACAGTATATTAGAACCTTGTCAACTACAGAGGGAAAAGGAAAATATCCTTATAGTCCTGACCTCTGGGATCTGATCCATTTATGGGCAGACCCTCAGAGTTAGGTCTTATCAAGATATGAAGATAATGTTCTATGAACCTGGAACCTTGCATTACCAAGTCAGCAGTAACTTAGAACTGACTCAGAATGAGGTAAGCATCATTATTAAGAAGAGAGAGCGTCATTTATTGAACTGGCTTATCTGTCAGATATTCTTTTTTTGTTTTTTTTAAATAAGGTCCTGCTCTGTTCCCCAGGCTAGAGTGCAGTGTGACATCATAGCTCACTGCAACCTCAAACTCTTGGGCTCAAGCAATCCTCCTGCCTCAGCCTTCTCAGTAGCTGGGATAACAGGTGCCCACCACCACATGTGGCCATTTTTCTTTTTTGTAGAGATAAGGTCTTGCTATGTTGCCCAGGCTGGGCTCAAGTCCCTGGCTTCAGGCAGCCCTCCCGCCTCCCAAAGTGCTAGAGTTACAGGTGTGAGCCACTGTGCCTGGCCCCTCTACCTGAGTATTAGGTCTTTGACCTTCCTTTCTAGATTGTGATTCCCTACAGAGTAAGGCTGCTTATCTTTTTACCTAGCATTATTGGTGCTCATCAATATTAAGTGCATTGAAGAGATAAAACTCATGTGTTCATGCCATCTGTTAAAAGTTTTCAGTAAAGTGTTCAATGGAGAAAAATTTAAATCATGTGGTAAAATGATAGTTTATTTCTTTTATTTGGGGCACTCTGGACCACTGGAGTCATAGATTATTTGAGTTGTCCATGCCTATGCTGATTTGGGACCTTGATGCTCAAAGAAGAACCTGGTAGTGGTAGTAGATGGTAAACTGGCCTGTGTTCAGTCATCTTTGTCTATTTAGAATGGACAGCTACTGTACTGTTTCCCATTTATAGCACTTCTCAGTTTCTTTCTCTGGAAATGAGTATTTGCTTTTGTTAGACTTTAAAAGAAATTGATAAACTTTATGGCAGTTTTAAGTTTATGGAAAAATGAGCAGAAAGCAGAGAGTTCCCATATACTCCCTCATAAGCACCTCCCCCGCTTCCTTATTAGTAACAACTTGCGTTAGTGCGGTATATTGCAGATCCAATATGATACATTATTGTTAACTGAAGTCCATATATTACCTTACATTAGGGTTCATTCTTCATGTTGTGCATTCTGTAGGTTTTGACAAATGTGTGATGACATGTATCCACCATTAGAGTAGTGTACAGAGTAGTTTCACTGCCCTAAAAATCCCTGTTCTCTGCATCTACCCCCATCTCTCCCCAACTACGACCACTGATTGTTTTACTGTCTCTATAGTTTTGCCTTTCCAGAATGTCATATGGGAATCATATAGTATATAGCCTTTTAGGATTGGCTTTTTTCTTTACTTTTTTTCTTTTTTTGAGACAAAGTCTTGCTCCGTCACCTGGGGTAGAGTGCAATGGCATCATCATAGCTCACTGCAATCTCAAACTCCTGGGCTCAAGCAATTCTCCTGCCTCAGCATCCTGAATAGCTGGGACTATAGGTGTGCCCCACCACACCTGGATAATTTTTGTATTTTTTGTAGAGATGGGGCCTCACTCTTGCTCAGGCTGGTCTCCAAAGCAATCCTCCTGCCTTGGCCTCCTTGAGTTCTAGGATTACAGGTGTGAGCCACCTTGCCTGGCCAGAGTGGCTTTTTTCACTTGGCAATATGCATTTAAGATTCCTCCATGGCTTTTTTTTTGTTTGTGTATTTTTTCTCTTATATCTTTTTGTGTTTTGATAGCTTATTTCTTTTTATCGCTGAATAAAATTCCATTGTGCGATTTGTTTATATATGCCCCTATTGAAGGACATCTTGGTTGTTTATAAGTTTTGACATTTAATAAAGCTGCTATGAACATTCATGTGCAGATTTTTGTGTGTGCGTAATTTTCAATTCATTTGGGTAAATACCAAGGAGTGTGGTTGCTGGATCAGACGGTAAGAGTTTGTTTAGTTTGAAAGACATAGTTTGAAAGACACTTTGGTGATTTCTTATAAAAGTGGCTGTACCATTTTGCATTCCCACCAGCAATGAATGAGAGTTCCTGTTGCTCCACATTCTCACCAACATTTGGTCCATAGATTGGTTATTTATTTAGAGACAGAATCTCCTTCTGTCCCCCAGGCTAGAGTGCAATTGTAGCTCACTGCAACCTCTAATTCCTGGGCTCAAGCAATCCTCTTGCCTCAGCCTCCCGAGTAGCTGAGACTATAGGCACATAGCACCACACCTGGCTAATTTTCCTATTTTTTGTAGAGACAATGTCTTGCTGTGTTACCCAGCTTGGTCTCAAATTCCTGGCCTCAAGTGACCCTCCCGCCTTGGCCTCCCACAGTGCTGGGATTATAGGCGTCAGCCATCGTGCCTGGCTGTAGATTGTTTTGGGTTGTCTGTGCCTCGTTTGTTCCCATACTTATTTGGGACCTTATGAAGAAAGAAGGGCCTGCTAGTGGTAGTAGGTTATGGTCTGGCCTGTTGACTGTCATCTTTTTGTATTTCTTTTTTTTTTTCTTCTTCTTAGAGCTTTCAAATAGCTGAACATCTTTTTATATTTAGAATTGACAGCCACTGCCCTGTTTCCCATTTATAACACTTCTATTTTCTTCTAGATCTTCTGATCTGGAAATGAATCTTGACTTTTGTTAGGCTTTTGAATAATGATTGATTGCTTTTATTCCTTAATGCAATGTTATAGTGAGTCTTTGTGTTTCTTAAAATTTGGAATGGATCATACAATTCAATAGCAAAAAAACAAACAAACAAATAACCTAACTTAAAAATGGACCAAGGGCCTGAATAGACATTTTCCAATAAAAGATATAAAAATGGCCAACAGGCATATGAAAAAGTGCTCAACATGACTAAACATCAGGGAAATGCAAATCAAAACCACAGTGAGATATCACCTCACACCTATTAGGATAGGTATTATCAGAAAGACAAGAGAAACAAGTGTGAGGATATAGAGAAAAGGAAATCCTTGTATATCATTGGTGGGACTGTAAATTGGTATAGCCGTTATGGAAAACAGTATGGAGGTTCCTCAAAAAATTAAAAATAGGAAGAATTGCTTGAGGTCAAGAGTTCGAGACCAGCTTCAGCAATATAATGAGACCCTGGCTCTACCAAAAAAAAAAAAAATTAGCTGTGTGTGGTGAAGCACACTTGTAGTCCTGGCTACTCTGGAGACTGGAGTAAGAGGATCATTTGATCCCAGAAGTTTGAGGTGGCAGTGAACTGTGATCATGGCACTGTACTTCACCCTCGGTGGCAGAGCGAGACCCTGTCTCAACAAAAAGAAAAAAAATTGAAAATAAAACTACCATGTGACCCAACAACCTCTCTGCTGGGTATCTACCCAAAGAAAATTATATCAGCACCCTGTAGAGGTATCTGTAGTACTCCCATGTTCATTGCAGCATTCTTCACAATAGCCAAGACATGGAAATAGCCTGAGTGTCCATTGCTGTATGAATGGATAGAGAAATCATGAAACTTAATGGAATATTATTGAGCCTTCAGAAAGAAGGAGATACTGCCATTTGCAACAATATAAGTGAACCTGAAGGTCATTATGCTAGATGAAATAAGCCAGACATAGAAAGAAAAATACTGCATGATCTCACTTCTATGTGGACTCTAAAAAGAGTGGAATACACAGAAACAGTGGAACAGGGGTGAGGAGAGGGAAGAAATGGGGAGACACAGGTCAAAGGATACAAACTTGCAGTTATGTAGGATGAGTAAGTCTACAGATCTAATGTACAGCATGAGGACTTGAGTTAATAATGTACTGTATACTGAAAATTTGCAAAGAGATTTTACATGCTCTTAGTACATACAAAAAGTATGTGAGGTGATAGCTGTGTTAATTTGCTTAATAGCTTTTTTTTTTTTTTTTTTTTTTTTTTGAGACTGAGTCTTGCTCTGTTGCCTGGGCTAGAGTGCCGTGGCGTCAGCCTAGCTCACAGCAACCTCAAACTCCTGGGCTCAGGCGCTCCTACTGCTTCAGCCTCCTGAGTAGTTGGGACTACAGGCATGTGCCACCATGCGCGGCTAATTTTTTCTATATGTTTTTAGTGGTTTGGCTAATTTCTTTCTATTTTTAGAAGAGACTGGGTCTCGCTCTTGCTCAGGCTGGTCTCGAACTCCTGAGCTCAAGCAATCCTCCCACCTCAGCCTCCCACAGAGCTAGGATTACAGGCATGAGCCACCGCACCCGGCCTAAACCCATTAATTTTCTATAGATAAAAGTATTAATGTCATCTGTCATCCAAATATGTATAATCGTGAATCTTCGTTAAGGACTAATATAACCCGATTATATTGCTTTTGGATGAGAGGTAACTATAGAAATGTAAGATTGTATTGACCATCCTAGCCGTTTAGAGTTAAAATCAGGTCCATGATGTTTTTAATAGTAAATTAAGATACTTTCTGGGGAGGGGGGAGGGGAGAGGGAGGAGGGGATGGGTATTTGTATACACAAAGAGTGCAATGCGCACCACCCAAAGGATGGACATATTTGAAACTCGGACTTGAGGGGGGGCAAGGGCAATATACGTAACCTAACCATCTGTACCCCCATAATATGCTGAAATAAAAAAAAAAAGATACTTTCTGAAACATACCAGCGTGTGCATTTTTCATATTCATTGTTGAAGGAATAATAACTATTGTATAATTTATTTTTTCACAGATTATCTTGATAATGGTAATAATAAAATGGCAATTCAGCAAGCAGATAAACTGTTGAAGAAACATAAGGATCTTCATTGTGCTAAGGTAAGTTCTTTTGCCCTTGAGTTACTTATATTTGGTGGGTTATATCTGTAATTCTTCACCTTAAAGGGGAAGGATGTTTAATCTCTTTAGTGACTTTGTGTTCTTTCAGAGTACTTTGTAGACCGTTTAGTTTCCTGGTCATTTACATGCCATAAATAGTATTTAATTAAAAGCTAGCTGTTTATTTCTTTAGATATTATTAATCTAATTTTTTATTTTCACAGGGTTCTTTTAAGCCATACTGTGTACTCTTAATATGATTGAAATAGGAAAGACTTTTGATTTGCTTATATTTTTAGTAAAAATAGGTTCAGTTTATTAGCAACCTAGGTATACCTTATAACTTGTACTTTCAGATTGGCTTTCTTTGGTTCATATTTCTTTTTCTGGTCCTTTTGAAAACTGATTTTTCTTTCCTTTCTATCAGGTTTTAAAGGCAATTGGTTTGCAGAGAACTGGAAAGCAAGAGGAAGCCTTCACCTTGGCACAGGAGGTGGCAGCCCTTGAACCCACAGATGACAACTCACTGCAAGCATTGACTATTCTTTACCGGGAGATGCATCGACGTACGTTTCTTTCTTTTCATTGTTTTTCAACCTGAGCTAAAGTTTTTGGATATTTCTGATTGAGTTTTCGAGTTAGCTTTGTCTAATTTACTTGTCATTCATGATTTGAATGGATGGCAACAGGCAGAATAATGCATTAGGAGTGGTTTGTGAGGACTGTAGACAGAAAGGATAGTTTACATATATTAGGATCCTTGAATTGAAATGAGGATTAAAGTGAGTTCGTTATGATATTTTGATTAGGTAAATAGAGGTCTTACCCTTATTTTCACTTTTTAGTATGGAAAATTTCAAACACAGACAAAAATAGAAGAGTATAATAAATTCCATTGTTCCCATTACCCACCTTCAGCAGTTATTAAGACATAGCCAATTTTATTTTGCCTATACTCCTCCTCCTGCCAGATTATTTCAGAGGTTATTCTAGACAGTCTATGATTTCATCTGTAAATAAAGATTTTCATTATTGATTTCTTAAATATTTTATTATGAAATACATATTTTTCATAATACATATTATGAAAGAATATAGTTTATGTAACATACTGGTCAATTTGTTGTGTAATAATTAACACTCAATGAACCTATCATCCAACTTAAGAAATAGTGCATTATCAATATTAGGAAGGCTTTCTGCATATATACCTCATCAATCTTAGTTCCCCTTTTACTTCCCAAGAGGAACTTGCTATCCTGAATATTTTTCATTCTCTTGCTTTTTAAAAAATATTTATCCAATTTTTTCTCTAAGTTATACATTATTAGTTTTGTTTAATTTTGAACTTCATATAAGTGAATTTGTACTATATGTATTCTATGACTTGCATTTTTCATATGATATCCAAGTGGCTGTAGTTGATTCATTTTTACTGCTACAAAATATTTTGTTGGGCGACTACACTGCAGTCTAGTCGTGTAATTGTCAGATCATAGGGTAAGTGTATGTTTAGCTTCAAGATAAAGAAAGATAATGTCAACTTCTTTTCTCAATATCCTAGCAGTTTCTGAATTTTGATTGCTCCACATCCTTGTCAACACTATTCTTAACCTTTAAAATTTTTGTCAACCTGGTGGGCAAAAAATGTTATTTTATAGCTTAATTTTATTTCTAATACTTGCAAAAGATAAAACTTAAGAGGTGGGGTATTATATCTGATTATTTAGGGATTGCATTGATTTGGGGAGAGAGTTAGGAAGGAGACTGAAGCCAGATCCTATAGGGTCTTGCATGTTGTAAATATGAT